CTGCAAAAGGAAACTGGACAGTATAGCGTAAGGATGCTAACAGGTTCTCATCCATAGCTTGTGACCAAGCAATAGAACAAACCTGCAACCGTGATTCAAAGACCAAGGGCGGCATAACTGGGATAACATTGAACAGAGGTGCCGTCCAGCGATGGATACTGTCTCATCCTGAACGTTCTGCAATCACCAGGCAGTGTGAAATGATGGCTGGAATGCAACATGAAGAGAGGGGTCATAAAGAGTTGGATGCAACAAGAATTGCAAAAGACAATGCTGCTGTTATATCTTTGGTTTCAGCGGTTGAGTCTATGATCAATCCCTTGCTGCCTCGTGAAGATCTTGTAGGTATTAGCTCTGGTGTTGTTGCTACAAAGACTGTCAGAGATGACATACAAAGTGCTTGTGATAAAGGTGAAACAGCTCTGAAAATTTTCATCCAAGATCGAGTCCAGTCATCAAAAACAGACTTCTTCTCTCCAATAAAGTCATTGAAGCTCACTGCGTTTGGGGATCAAATGAAGAAATCATCCAAGACAAAAGATGGAAATCAAGTCATTCTAAAAAATGACAGGAGACTCTTTGCACGACTGTTAGTGATAAGTCAATCCCTGTCTGTAAACTTGAAAGAGATTCTGACATATTCACTTGGCAATATCTCATCCCCGCTAGCAAGCACTGATGGTTCATTAGCCAAAACAAATAAGGCTGCTTTTCTAGCTTGTTTAGAATCAAAGAACAAGGACTGTCATGTGAACAAGACTGTTGGTGATAATGGTGCCCTACTGATAGATGGCATGGCATTGATCAGGAGTCTCAAGAATATACCAGACACATTCGGTGAGCTTGCTGATGATCTTCTTCAACTTATGATTAAGATGGGTAGAAAGTTGTCCAAGGGTCGATTTTGTCATTGATCGCTACCCGGCAGTGAGCATCAAAAATGCTGAACGATCAAGACGTGCTGTTGCTGGACAACAATTACTGCAAATATACAGCATCAAGCAGAAGACTCCAAGTCAGTGGACCAAGTTTCTAGCCAGTGGTTAAAATAAAAAAGCCTTGACAGACTTTTTCTTTGAGACATGGAGAACTGTGCCTTTACAAGCAGCTGGAAAAGACATAGCTATCTTTGTGGCACACAGAAATGTATGTCATCAACTCACTCTTAAAGATGGCATTATGTCTGTCAAAGAGGTAGAATCTTTGACTTGTGACCATCAAGAAGCGGACACGAGGCTCCTACTTCATGCAAAACATGCCTGGAGTGAACTTTATAATAAGATAATCATCCAGAGTCCTGACACTGATGTTGCTATCATTTCACTTTCAATAATGGCTAAGCTTCCCTCAGCAAAGATGTACTTTCTGACAGGAACAAAAGACAGGCAAAGAATGTTAGATCTCCAGGCTATTGGTTCTGCTTTGGGTCCTTCACTAACAGAGGCACTGATAGGACTACACACATTCACTGGCTGTGACTCAACTAGTTCCTTTTATGGGAAAGGAAAAGAGAAACCACTAAATATAGTGTCTGGAAATGCAGAGTACATCCGTGCATTTGTTGCTCTTGGGAGGCAATTTGAAATGGACAACACCACATTTGTGACCATAGAACGTTTTGTGTGTGAGCTGTATGGAGAAAAGGTATCAGATGTTAATTTGGCCAGATACAATAGGTTCTGTGTCCAGGCCTCTTCCGAACAGGCATTACCTCCAACAAAAGATGCACTTACAGAGCACTTCAAGCGTGCTAACTACCTAGCTGCAATCCACAGGAGAGCATTGGATCCTTTTATAAATGCTCCCAGTCCAGACGGCTTTGGATGGATTGTCAAGGATGGTGATCTCATCATATCATGGATGACTAAAGATCCAGCTTCTCAACAGATTTTGGGGTCACTCCACTGTGGGTGTAAGTCTCGTACTTGTACAGGTGGAAGGTGCTCATGCCACAAGGCTGACCTGGCCTGCACTGACCTATGTAAATGTGTTCATTGTAACAATGTGAGATTAACTGAGGATATTGCTTCATGTGAATCTGATAGTGAGGACAGTGATCTTGATATTTAGTGATGTGTATATGATAATAAAATTAATATAGGACATATATATTTAATATAAATCAATCAAAATTCAATCTTGTTTACAATAATCATTGCTGTGAATATGTACATGTAGTGCAGTTGCTGCTCATGTATGCGAATTGACAATTCACCATTAAATGTGTTATTTTGAAAAGTGCTTTTTTATATATTATATTTTGGCTTAATTCTATTTGTTATTCAGATTTTACCTCAAATATTACCTTTCAATTGGAACAACATAATGATAAGTAATTGGGATGTTAATGCTACAGCAGAAGTTTTCTTGATAATCTTATCATGTTTACTGTGCATATTCCAAAGAACACAGGATGAGATGTTACTATCCTTTGTGCAAGCACTTCCAAGAGTTCATGAACAGTGAGCCTGGTGAAATTTTGGGAGCGCATCGTCAGTAGTGACCCTTTGGTTCCTAGGGTGTTTCGGCCTTTCATACTATACACCCTCCCCAAAGGTGGCCAGCGACAGGGTGATCAATCCTACGCTTGCGTCCCATTCCCAATTAGTCATAGGAGTTGCCTTGTTGTTGGTAGCCAACATCCCATGGGACTATGCATGGCAGGGGCGTCCTCCTCCCTGAGTCAAGCATTGTTGACTGCATACCTCCTGGCCCTCTCACTTTGGGGCCCAGCTGGGGTCTTTCCTCTTCATCCAGAGCCACTGACTGCTGCCTTCTGCCGCCTCCGATACAGCTTTGATTGCCGAACGCTGGCTCTGGCCCTTAATTCCCAGGTCTCTAAGCAGTCTGGTTGTAGATGTTGCCACAAAACCTCTGCAGCCCACCTCCACTGGTCGGACTTCTGTGTTCCAGCCATGATGCCGTGCTCCGGCAGCTAGATCGGCATAGCGCAGATGTTTTCGCTCATAAGCCTCATCTACTGAGTCCTCCCAGGGTACTGTGAGCTCAATGATGAAGACCTTCTTGAGCGAACGGGACCAGAGCACCATGTCAGGTCTTAGGGTGGTGGTTGCGATCTCCGGAGGAAACACAAGTTGCCGGCCAATGTCAGCTAGCATTTTCCAGTCGCGGGCCAAGCGCAGCTGGTCTCGCTCTATTGGTGTAGAGCCGCTCTTCGGTGGTTTAGCCCCTTCGCGGACAAAGGTCGTCCGTAAGGGGTGTGATGCTGCTGGGGGTGGTAGGGAGTTGGTGGCAGCTCGCTTGTCCTCCGGGGCGGACGCAAGGTTTTTAAGGACTTGGTTGTGACGCCAAGTGTAGCGTCCTTGTGTGAGGCTTGTTTTACACCCTGTGAGAATGTGCCTGAGGTTGGTTGGCATGGAACAGAGGGCACAGTCCGGATCTTCACCATACCATTGGTGAAGATTAACTGGTGTTGGAAGGATGTCATATGTTGCTCTGATGGAAAAGCTCAACCGCCTCGCTTCCATGGCCCACAGATCCTTCCAGCTGATCTTCTTCTTCTCCATACTGTCCCATCGAGTCCACTGTCCTTGTTTGGCAAGAGAGACTGCCTTGGCCCACCTTGCAGCCTCCTCCTGATGGCGTACTTCCTGCACTACCATCTTCCGCCGCTCTGGTGCAGTGGCCTTACTCCAAGCAACACGGCTAGTTAGCCCAAGGCCTCCTCTCCCTTGCTGAACATGACCCACAATGTCAGCATGTCTGAGGGCTGCTGTTGCCTCCTGGACTGCTTTTCCTGGCCTCCATTTGCGCCCAGTTGCCAAGGTCGGCGCGTTGTTGCTCACCACTGGGTAGCAACTTCAGCTATATCACACATTTCAAACTGGTTAATTTTGTACTTCAAGTGGTAATTCTGCATTTTTGGGTTTATATGATAAACAGGTTTAAAAGTGCAAAATTCCCTATAGTTTCCTTTTTTCAAAATGGGCACCTTTAGCATCATTTTTCTCAAAAACTGCAAGGTTGTGTGTGGAGAACTTTTTCCTAAGGAATCTCTATATATTTCTGATGTTAAATATTAAAAAAGTAGGTAGTGTCCCACTTGGTGGAACGAAACTCTATTTCTAGGCCTCTTTTAGGCTACCGACAGCGGCCTATGGTGGATTAAGACTTTCCACGGCTGAATTCAACATCAACAACGTATGACGGCGTTTCGCTTAAATTGCTTTGAGCTTCATCAGGCAGCGAGCTCGGCAATCGAGTGCTCATATGTTGCGAAATGTCGTGTGTTGGTCTTAAGCCACCGACGAGGAGTTGCATTAGTCAGAATGTGATTAATACGTGTGCAAGTGTAATTATTATTTGTAAACGTGACAATCTTGTCTGGTGGTTTGTAGATTAATGTTTGGCCTAAAACTACCACGTGGTCTAACCATGAACGCCTACATTTTATATTCATGTTCATTACTTCAAGTCAATAAATTCAGCACTCCATGTCAGCCGTTTGACATAACAACATTTTTCAATGTCATCCATGTGCCTTGGTATAAAACATCTCCTTCTATTGTTGTGCATGCTTACTAAATAAACATCTGCGTAAACAAACAATGTCTGTGCAAACTTTAACTCTTTTTCCGTATAAACATTCCTTTCAGTTGTTTTACACCACTACATTGCTTTTTTAAAATCAGATATACGTATGAATATATACATTCTGAACTCTTGTAACATGGGATTTTTATTTCTACGTAATACTTAAAACATTTTTTATCCTACTTATCTATACATTTCTGTGATAGCTTCCAGTCAGAACATAAAGTTTAGTACAATTTATTAATCTACAATATGCAGACTCAATAAGTATATATGAAAAATAAGAATAGGTTTTACCTTTTCTGACAACAAAACAGGAGGTGTTGTTATGATGTTCAAACACCAAATAGATACCTTTTGCAAGGAAGAAATGAGTATATCTTTTTTGTTTGCTGTGCATATTTTGCATTAAAAACGTGACATTGCTCGAGTCACACGTGTCTCACCACGCCGGCACTGTTGTCTTTCAGGCCCGGCGTCTCTTCCTCCTTCCCATCGTTGGAGGCCTCCTCTGGCTTTGGCACTGCTGAAGCCGAGGGCATTGGATTCCTATTTGAACACACGATATTATCCTTTCACATACATGCCCCAAGCCACATTATTTGCATAACTTCAACAAACATCAACATGTATGTACAACAACGCATTTCATGGTACGGTATTAATTTGTTGCAAATTGGTCATTATGGGGAATTGTTCTTCTGGGCGTTTGTGCCACGAGGTGGGGTCCCCTTTCTGAGTACCCCCCCCCCCTCGATTCTACGCCATCTCCACGGAAACGCCTCTGTGATGCCGCCGCCACGAAGCCGTTCAGCAGGTGTGATGCCGCCGCCACGAAGCCGTTCAGCAGGCGCCCTAGCTACGACCTCGCCACCACCAAGCGACGGAGCCAACCCCGCGTCCCCCTCACCTCACCTCACATGAACACACCCGCACGCATTTCCCCCCCCCCCCCCCATAGAGCTCCGAGGGGAAGTCACCTGACCGACCGGTTTTAATCCGAGAAACCCTTATCGGGATAAACTTTCACGGTTTCCGGCAACCAGGGAATTGGACGACCTCCCCCGATGCTACTTCGCGGCGCTGCGACCGGCATTAAGATTGCACGGTCGCAGCGAGGGGCCATTCGGCCACCGCAGGTGAAACGCACCACACACACCCCACACACACGCAAGTATCGACGGGGCAAGAAGAGGGGCATAAGCATTGTGATGGAGGAGCATAATTAGAATAAGCGCCGCGCATAAGCATTGTGATGGAGGAGCATAATTAGAATAAACGCCGCAACACGCAACGCATCTGATTAGCATAGCAAAGGCGCCCGGAACCGCCACACGCGCCCTAACGGGCGCGCGCCTATTGTTAAAGAAAAACTGGGAGGGGGCCACCAAGACCACAGGCGGAGCAGATCTCTTTGATGTAGGGACGATAAAAAGGGGGCGAAAAGGGGAGATCTCTCTCTTACTCCAGCATCAGGTGACAAGACGCTCTCCAGCTCAGCGACCCGGACGTCCGTGCGACGCATCGAGGTATGCTGCTAGCACGGGATCAACGGACCGCCGTGGGCACCTAACAGTGAGTAAGAAGGCGAATTAGGATCATAGCCGATAAATAGGGAATAGGTCCAGGGGTAGTAGAATAGGCCAGCCTCGTCGATTCATACTGACTCAACAACCAGTTCCAGGTAGCAAACAATAAATCATTAATAGCGGATTGTGGCCTCGTGTGATCTCGTTGAGCAGTGTGAACGCGTGTAGTGCTGCGTATACAGCGGCTCGCCTCGTGGGAGCGCTGCGCAGAGCAGCGCGAGAGTGGGTGTCGCGTGTGGAGCTGCGTGTGTGCGCGTGAGTTCACTCCGTGTATGATACAGGTGCGCGATCTTAACGTGAGTAGTTGTGGTGCTGTGTACACAGCGGCTCGCCACGTGGGAGCGCTGCGTAGAGCGGCGCACGAGTGGGTGTCGCGTGTGTGCAAGTGTGTGCGCTCGTAGCGTGGGGGAAGGGGTCGGTGCGTCCACAGGTACTCGCTCCGTCTATCGCCGCAGGGACTCGCGCGGTGTGAGGGCAGCATCATTCGCCCTCCGACCCCTGACCCCCGTTTAGAGCGCGTGATTGGTGGAGAGACAGCGCAGTGTTTACAGGTGAACGAGAGCGGGCGGCGAGCTATGCCTCTCACACGAGCTCGCGGAGGGACGGACCAGGGAGGGGAGCCGTCGGGCGATGAGCCCAGCGACGGTAGCAGCTGCTCGCAGAGTAGCGAGGGGTCGGCGAACGGCGGAGCTCCTGCCATAGGCACGGAGCAGGGAGGGACTTCGGGGACCCGCGGCCCCAACAATTTGGTGTCAGAAGTCGTACGAACCCTCATATCTTCACGGGAAAGTGGCACGCTACTCCACGGCCAGGGGACCCCTACATGGAAAGCGTTTTCCCGCAATATCATAGGGGCTAAAGAGCTTAATGGCTGGTCGGACGCGCAGGCGTTACGACAACTTATGTTGAACCTAGATGGGCAGGCAGCCGACTTTGTAGAGGCACTACCCGAAAGCGCGCAAACCCAACTAGAAGAACTAATGCGTAGATTAGACCTGCGTTTCGGCACACGCAACGCGATACGGGCAAAGACAGCCTTAGAGGCGCACCGACGCCAACCCGGCGAGGACTTCCAAGACTACGCCGAGGACGTGTGATCACTAACCCGGATCGCCCGTCCAGAGTTCGCAAAGGAGGTCATTGACGCGCTAGCTGCAGACAAGCTACTCAGGTACCTTGCTCGCACCGTGTGGTGGCAGCCCAAAAGGGGTAGCGCAGGCCTCCCCTTCGATACCCTAGTCGAGCAAGCACTTGAGTGTGAGGAGCTCTCCAGCGAATGCGCGCAGCTCCGAGGGTCGGGACAGGAGTGCACCGTGGCGAGCCTGATCCCTGCCGAGGAGGAGGATGAGGAGGAGCCCGCCAGCCCAATAAGGAGATGGGCAAGAGAGCCCCAGAGACCCCGCGAGACAACCCCGGGGTGGGTAGCCGGGTTACAGGCCGGCATGGGAGATATTGACGGTAAGTTAACCGAAGTACGCGAGGAAACGAATAAAAATATGACCAAACTGCAATCCTCCGTTGAGACCATCCGATCCGAAATGGGGGACCTATGCGCCATGGTAGGAGGGTTATCTGGAAGGGTAGCCCGACTAGAGGTGGAGGGTGGACAGCGGCGTAATGGGGGAGGAGGGAGTGGGCAGGGGACCCGCTACGGAGCCGCCCCCCCTCCCCGGACATGTTATATGTGCGATCGCCGAGGGCATCTAGTGAGAGACTGTCCTGAAATCACCCGAGCTAGGCAGACGCGGGGGTTAAACTCCAACGCCCCCTAGAGCGTGGACCAACTAGGGGTGGGTGCAATCGACGTGGTCCCGATACAAATAGACGATAATCAGAATAATGGCGAGCGAGTGATCTCCACACAGGTTCCAGCAACAACGCCCACGGAAACGGTGACTCCTGGCGACTGGCTACGGGGAGCTGGTGGCGGGGATCACGGGGGCCACGTCGCTGGTGGAAGGGGAGGTAAACGGAATGCGTACCCGAATCCTGCTGGACATGGGGGCGGCGGCCTCGCTCGCTCGCGCAGCGCACTGCACCGCGATCGGGGTCGACGTACGTCACCTGCAGGCCCCGGACCGCGTGCTGCACACGGCGAGCGGAGCAGGAATGGGGCTGCTGGGGAGAGCCACCCTAGAGGTCCGCATAGGCAGCCAGGTGTGCACCCAGGAGTTATACGTGTCGAGTGCGTTGTGTCACGAGTGTATTGCAGGTACCGACCTCCTAGAACAGCTGGGACTCAACGTGCAACCCCACCAGCGATGCGCCACCATGGAAAGCAACGGCGAGCGGATTCCGTTCCTGGGATGAGAGCCGACGCGCCCCCGCTTCGCACCTGTGGCCGCTATCCTGGCGACGGCAGTCACCATCGGGCCGCTCACCGAGATGCTGGTGCCGGGGGCAACATCCCCCACCGACCCCGCGCTCCGACCATCAGGGGAGGTAATGCTAACTTCTCACCCGGAGTTGGCCAAACGGTATGGGGTCGTGGGGTCCGCCACGTTGGTAAACGCAGATGGGGACCGATTGTTTATGCGGATGTTTAACCCTCACAGCACCCCAGCGATACTACGACGGCGCACCCCGATAGCCACCGTACACCCCCTGCATGCACGCCACTCTAACGACTCGGTGTTCGCACTCTGGGCTGAGGACCCCAGTCATCCTGAGGGTGACCAGGACCTGGCCTGGCGAGTCGGCCCGACTCCACGAGCCGAGGTCGTTCCCCTGCTCGACGCGTTACATGTACCATGGGCGGATTTACCTAGGCCGATCGGCTGCGCGAGTTACTGCGGGAGTATGCCGACGTATTCAGTGAACACGACTCGGACGTGGGTCGGACCGACCTTGTTAAGCACCAAATTGACACCGGTGCAGCCCGACCCATCAAACTCCCTGCATACCGAGTGGGCGCACCCGAATGCACCCAGATCAAAGAGGCAGTTGGGGACATGCTTCGCGATAACATAATTCAGCCCTCGGCGAGCCCCTGATCAGCCCCAGTGGTACTAGTAACGAAAAAGGATGGGTCAACCCGGTTCTGCGTCGATTACCGAAAACTGAACGCAGTCACGCTCGGCGACGCCTTCCCCATACCCTGCATCGATGACACCTTCGACAGCCTCACCGGAGCGCGATATTTTTCCACCCTCGATCTCGCGTCCGGGTACTGGCAGGTGGAGATGGCGGAGGAGGATTGGCCGAAAACCGCATTCACCACCCCGATGGGACTATTCGAGTTTCGAGTACTCCCGTTCGGACTCACCAATGCGCCCGCGACGTTCCAGCGGCTGATGGAGTTGGTGATGCGGGGCTTGCAATGGGAATAGTGCCTGATTTACTTGGACGATGTGATAGTGTTCAGTAGATCTTTGTCTGAGCATTGGTCCAGGTTATGAGAGGTATTCCAGCGACTGCGAGCGGCTCATCTCAAGCTCAAGCCACGTAAGTGTTACATCGCACAACGAGAGGTGGGGTACCTCGGGCATCGCGTCAGCGAGGCAGGCGTGCACACCGATCCAGAGAAGGTACGCTCCGTAGTGGAGTGGCCATGGCCAAGGAATCTGATGGAGATCAGATCATTTTTGGGGCTCGCCACCTATTATCGTCGATTTGTAAAGGGATTCAGCGAGATTGCATGCCCCCTCACCCAACTCACCTCCCCTAAGCACCCCTATCAGTGGACGGGGGCCTGCCAGACGGCCTTCACCACTCTCAAAGACCACCTCACCCACGCCCCCACCCTCGCTTTCCCCGATTTTACCACCGATTTTATTTTGGACACCGACGCCTGCAGCAGCGGGCTGGGCGCGGTGTTGTTACAGGTACAGGATGGGACGGAACGAGTCATCGCGTACGCCAGCCGGACCTTGAGTGGGGCCGAACTGAACTATTGCGTGACCCGCCAAGAGTTGTACACCGTGATTTTCGCATGTAAGCAGTTCCGGCCGTATTTGTACGGCAGGAAATGTCGCGTACGCACTGACCATTATGCTCTGCAGTTTCTTCTTACATTCAAGGAGCCGCGGGGGCAGATGGCCCGGTGGTTGGTGCAGTTGCAGGAGTACAACCTGGCCGGACGCATGCAAACGCGGACGCCTTGTCGAGGCGGCCCACGGTGTACGCCGAGACAAGGGCGGAGGAGGCCTGCCCGTGTTTCACGGGGGGATGCTGCCGGCAGGCAACGGACCCCCGAGAGGCCACGGCCACTGACCCTCCCCCAGCGAGAGAGAGTGCAGTGTGCGCCACAGAGACCCTCACAGGTGGCACCGAGGATCCCGTCGACTGCCCGGCAAGCACGGGACCCACGGCTCGGGACCCGGTGGATCACCCCACCCCAATCGGACGGATCCAGGAGGACGTCGGCTGCGCCTTCCCGGGCCTGAACGACGAGCAGCTGAGACAGACCCACCAGCGGGATCCGGATCTGGCGGCAGTGGAGGCGGCACTGCGGGAGGAAAAGAGTGCCCTACCAGGACCCTGGAGCGGTTTGTATGGCCGGTTGTGTGTGCAGAACGGGGTGGTACGGGAGTTAACCGAGGCTGGCCAGCCGGGGTGCATCTGTGTCCCTGCCCAGGTGTGACCCCAGCTGCTACGGCTGGTGCATGACCACCCACTCGGGGGCCACGATGGGGAACGACGCACTCGAGAGACCCTGCGTCGCCAGTATCTCTGGCCCAAACTGGCACAAGACGTGGCCGCCTGGGTACAGGGCTGCCGCGCCTGTCAGCAGTGCGGGCCGAAACCGGCACGATATCAAGTACCCCTAAGGCCGTTCCGCGTCAGCCGCACGAACCAGCTGGTCGGGATTGACCTACAGGGGCCATTCCCGCGGTCCCATTGAGGCAACCGATATATCCTAGTCGCAGTAGAGTATTTCACCCGCTACCCCGTGGCAGTGGCCATCCCTGATAAAACGGCCCTGGTGGTGGCCCGGGCATTCGTGGAGCATTACGTACTTAAGCACGGGATCCCAGAACGAA